GGTCTGCCGAGGCCCCTCGGAGCCAGCTGCCCAGAGAGCGCAGGGGCCCCCCAGATGGCCCTCCCGGCTCTTAGGCATGCCGGTGGCCTTTGGGGTCCCACCCAGGGGCAAGGAGCTGCCTTTGGGCCCTGGCGCGCCACCCGGCACCTGGGTGCGCGTGAACCTAGCGATGGGCAGAGGCTGGCAGTCTTTACCCCCAAGGGCGGGCGGGGGGCCTGTGCGTCCGCTCCGGACGAGGAAAACCAAGTTGTTTCTGATGCTCTTGTAGCCGTTGGGCTGCGTCCACTGGGGGGCCATGGAGCTACAGCTGACGCGGTGCCAGATCCGCTTGTGCATCCACAGCACCTCGGGGTAGTAGGTCTTGTGGCTGCAGTAGGGACACGGGTACACGGCCAGCGCCGCCTGCAGCGAGGAGGCCAGCTCCTTGTGGCTGGGGTCGTCCCGGGTCGACCTCTCGCTCAGGTCCAGCGGGATCAGGTCTGGGGCCGGCGCTCTCCTGCCCCCAGAATGCTCCTTGTTGTGCAGATCACAGGGCTTCTCTTTGGGGTGGCCAGCCGGGCTCTCCGAGGATAGCTGTAGGGCCGCGCCTTCTGGAAAAGCCTGACCTGCATTCGAAGGGAAGTCTACGGCGTCCCGAAAGCCGCGGACCTCCTGCTTGGGGTGGCACGCAGGCATCTTCAAGTCCACAGAAAATCGAGGCAGCTCCGGTCTCCTGGCGGTCTCCCTGCTGCGGTCCTCACGTGCGGACACAGGGGCTGCCGTTTCCGCGCGGGGCCCGCCGGGGTCCTGTCCTGGCAGGGTGCGTCCAAGGCTGTGACTCTGGCCTCCATTGGAGAGCAGGAGCTGAGCCACGTCTTCGGAAAAGCGGCGGCTGTGTGGCTTTGCCCCTGAGGATCAAATGTAAAACGTGAAGTTACCATTTCTCATCAGAACAGAACAAGGTACAGAAGCACAACCAGGCGCTGGGTGTGGAGAGGGTGCCCGGCTGCAATCAGAGCGCTCCAGAGTCTGGCTGGCTCCCCACCGCACTCTGCCAGGAGCCAAGGAGCTGGCCACCACCAAGGGCAACGTGACGTTTGGGGCGGGGCGTCTTTTTTTCAATTGATTTAAATGATTCAGGCGACTGTAGAGGAAACTAAAATAGCTGGATATTTAGTTACCTGTAACAACAGAGTCACTGGTTAACAGGGTGACTAGTTCATCAAACACCAGGAAATGCACTTTCTTACACGCAGACTTCCCAGGCTCTCCAAACTGGGGCTACTGGGGGGCTGCAGGACCACCCCCAGCCAGCTGTGTAAGGTAAGAAAACTCAGAGAGGCCAATAGGCAATCCATGGCCACGTTGCACAGCCGGAAAACAGCTTAGTCTGCCCAAGGGGCCCTGGCTGCCTCCGAAACCGCTACAGGACAACCTGGCCCGATCCCAAAAGGGTCCCTAGAACTCTCTCCTGTATGGTCCGACGTTCAAGTCCAAAACCTCGACACCAAAACTCTCCTGCACAGGCATGAAGGAAAGGGGCGAGTCAAGCCACTCACCCCCACCCTTCTGGGGAGACACCCGCACACGTCCCCAGCTCTCTGCACCTGGAGGGTCCTGCCTGGGCGCACGTGGACCGCCTGCCTCTGCGCGAGGACTTGGTGTGACCAACCTCGTCTCTCCCCAGGTGGATGCTACATACTGCGAGATCGCGGTCGAGCGTGGCTGGTCTGGCCTCAAAGCTCAAGTTTTACAATTTCTGCAACATCGGACTTGACGATGACCAAGTAGATTTAACGGGACTTAAAAAAAATCCCGTCTTAAGTTTGCACTGGTGCCCTGGGTTTATTTAACTCTAGGAGTCAACATTTTAGAAGGTGTAAGGAAATGTTTCTGGGTCCCTTAAACCTCCATTCTTCCTCCCTGGGAAGAATGTCATCTCGTTGCTGCCAGTGGGACGGGGATGGGTTAAGATCAGGCGTTCTCTTGTGAGAAGCCCAGTACTGTCAGTTGTGACACAAGGTTGTTTTGGAGATTTTAACACTCTCTTGGAATGTAGGGGTCTGTTTACACAGAATGCTCTTTAAGTATCTGAGTATATTCTTGGAGTTGAGACGTGGGAACCCCACACTCTTCAGAAGGGATCCTCAGGAGAGCACCCTTCTCAGAGGCCGTGTCCTCGGAGCTGAGGCTCATTTCCAACCAGCAGGTAAGTAGTGAGCCGCTCGCAAGCAATTCAAAAGGATTATGTCCACGTAAAACATAGTGTTACCTGTATGTTGTCATCAGCAGAAACGATGAGGAGCCAAGTCAAGGAGGGATGCTTTCTGCGGCTCCAAAAAGCTAACAGTAAAGTCAAGTGCGCTTGTCTGTCACAAGTGGTACCCGTGACGACTCAGAAGGTGGGCAGCCCTGGCAAGCCCTTCTGATAGAAGGGGTCTCCACCCGGAACTAAACGGGGGACCATCCTGGCCTGGGATGAACTCAGGCTGCTGCTTGTTGTGTCAAATTCACTTTTAAATGTTCACAGAGCAGCGTCTGGGGCTGGGAAGCTGGTGTTTCCCATATGGAAGGACCAGGGACTCACGGGAGGGCTGCTGGTGGAGCCTCCAAACTGAGCAGTGAGGCCTGTGCCATCTGACAGTGCACTTCTGGGGGGTCTGCAAAGCTCCTCCCAAGTCCCAAGCATCATGCTCCCAAAAAGTATCATCAAACATCACAGGCGAACTCCCAGTGCCTCTGATGGAGACACGGAGTAAGAAACGGACAGCAAATAACAGACGTAACATGCCACGTCCCCCGTGAGGCTGGGCAGAGTGTTACCTAAGGAAACTGGTAACCCGAAGAAAGACTACTCCCCAGTGGCCAGCTAACTCCAGGGGGACAATCAGGAAAGGGGACTATGGATAACCTGAGATCAGAATGAGCGAGAGGGGAAGGCACGGGGTAGCCATGTGCTTCTTCACACCAGGCTGCCCGCCTACCACTCCCAGGGCCCTTTCTCATGGAGGTTCTCTGGTCAACAGGGCTGGTGAACTTGACCTCAATAGCGGACTCTGGTCAACTCAGAGAAGCACCCGAGGCCTGCCCCCTGCTCTCCCCCCACCCCCCACATTGCGACCCAGCAGCCCCTAAGGCACTGGAATAAACCCGCAAGTGAGGGGCTGAGAAGGGCTGCAAAGGGCTGCCCTCGGCACCGTCAGGTCCGGGCAGGCCAAGAGGAGGGCTGCCCTGCTGGCCCCCAGGGGACAGGATTCACAGGATTCAGGGCCTCTGCTCCAGGTTCTTCCGTGCCATTTCCAGTTTTACTCACGGTCATTTCATCTGCAAGGTGGACTTCCCAAAGAACTCCGTACCACCACTATCACCACCGAAAAGCAGGCCAGGCCCCCACCCACCAGCACAGAAGGGTCCCCTCCCTGCGGGATCCCAGCCCCCGCCGCCATCCAGCCCTTCCTGCTGGTCACCAAGCTCCATGAACACACAGCTGCCTCAGAGGCGGCACGCAGCAAACACTTTATTCGATCACAAGGAAGACGGCTAGGAGTTTGAGCCGTCTTCCTTGTGATCAGACAATGCACCTGATGTTCACCGGGAGGCTGAGTGACACCCTAAGAACAGAGGCTCAGAAAGCCCCGCAAGTCACTGCGGGCACAGGGCGCCTTAGAGGACCTGCACTGCTGTCCGGGTGCTGAAGCAGGTGCCGAGCCCACAGGAAGCATGCGTGTGTGTGACCCCATACACATGCATCACATACGTGCACATCACATGCACACTCGCACACACAGTCGTTTTTCCATGGCTGCTCTCTCTTTGGCCCAATAGTTTCTGTGACTCACACACACCTTAAATTACTCCATTTCTTTCCAAATAGGACCTTCCTGAATGTGGTTTTAGCACTGACCAGACCCAATCCCAAGGCTGGGGGATGCCGGGCTCACCTTGCACACGCATCTCACGCTGGACCCCCCACCAGCCCCGGAGGTTCGGAGCTTTCAATGTTTGGAACCCGAGGCGGCATCTACAATACACAAGTGCTGCCCCTGAGATACTAATAGGGTGATTACGGCACCTGGCAGGGGGGAAAAAATCACTCCCCTTTCAATTTTTATTAACTTCTTTTATTGTGATGAAGCATAAAAGAGGTGGCGGGGGGGAGGGGGAGGCTGGACCCAGTGACTCGGATTCTCCAGGGACTCACCTCCCAGGCTACCCATGAGCACAGAGCCCCCAGGACTGCCCCCCGCCCAGGGAACACCGCCCAACAGGGGTCCTGCTCTGAGGATGCAGAGGAACATGGGGACCTGAACAGCCAGGGAACCCAAGGAGACACAGCAAGACCTGCCCACACCCCCTCTACCACCACCCAGTAAGCGCAGGTCAAACACGTGTCTTTTTCCTCCAGGCCCTTCATCGCTTAACAGAACATAGAGCCATGCAGCTGGCTGTGCACCACACCGAAGGGCAGGCTGGCACCGCCCGCGTGAGAGGGCTACATCCTTCCTGCACTTTTCACCACCGCACTGGGCACTTAAGGAGCCATGCAGCTGGCTGTGCACCACACCGATGGGCAGGCTGGCACGCCCGCGTGAGAGGGCTACGTCCTTCCTGCACTTTTCACCACCGCACTGGGCACTTAAGTCGCACTGAATAGCAAGACAAGTAGCTTTCAGAAACTGTAACACAAGTCAAAACATATTTTGTAACTGACCTGCTGGGGAAGCAGATTAGATCAATTCCGTGTGTCTCGGTGTTCTGGTTTATAAACTAAGAATAGTTTCAAAACATTTTATCCCAGGTTTGGGGGGGAACCTAAGAGCAGTACAAAAGCCCCTCATCGTACAGTGTGATTCCATTTATTGAAAGGGTCCTTCAGGGGACCTTCTGACCGTCTTGGGGACGAGACGGGACATGGCTGGATTGGGAACACCGAGGAGAACTGGGAGCTGAGCCAGGGCCCGCCCAGGATGGAAGCGGGGGAAGGTCCCTGAAGGGTGCCACAGCGGCTGTCCTCCCACAGCCCGCCATCATTTTTATCAGTGGCCTCGAGGAAAAACTGGGACTGGACGAGCTACTCAGACCCAGAACTGACACTCAGCTCAGAGGGACAGCCAAACCTTCACCCAAGATCAAAGTTTTCAACAGGGAACAAAGGCTCAAAACTAACAAGATAAGGGAGAACAGAAAGTACAGGAAGAGAAAGGTATGCATTAAAGCTGTGCTTGAAAAAGACTCTAGGCCAGTGGTCGGCAAACTGCGGCTCGCGAGCCACATGCGGCTCTTTGGCCCCTTGAGTATGACCACGAAGTTTCAATTGCACTGTAAGTGCGCGCCCACACGTGGTATTTTGTGGAAGAGCCACACTCAAGGGGCCGCAGTTTGCCGACCACTGCTCTAGGCTCCTAGGGGACCACAAGCTCAGAGGGAGCTGCCACAGCCCAGGGTTTTAGATGGAGCCAAAGCATCCTTAGCCACAGCCAGGGAAGCAAGGGTACCGATGAGCACACGTAGTCGGAAGAGCCCAGACGAAGCTCTGAGACACGCACACACACTGAGGACAGGAGAGATGAGGGACAGGGTGTGTGGAACAGGTTGCCCCGGGGGGTGGGGGGGCACTTCTGGAAACAAAGTAACATGAAGAATGGCCTGGCCAGTGTGGTCCAGTGGTTGAGCATTGACCTATGAACCAAGAGGTCACAGTTCAATTCCCGGTCAGGGCACATGTCCGGGTTGTGGGCTTGATCCCCATTGTGGGACGTGCAGGAGGCAGCCGATTGATGATTATATCTCATTGATGTTTTTATCTCTTTCTCCCTCTCCCTTCCTCTCTGAAATCAATAAAGATATATTTTTAAAAATATGAAGAATGACTGCAGGGACTTGAACTATTCCTCTAGAAAGGGGGCTG